AATATGAAAAAATTAGGATTAGGTGCAGATATATATATAAAAGTTGTTGCGTTGTTGTATGCCTTCAAGTAGTTTCCCACTTATGGCAACCCTATCACAGGGTTTTCTTGGCAAGATTTGTTCAGATGAGGTTTTGTCATTGCCTTCCCCTGACAGCTGAGAGAATGTGACTTGCCAAAGGTCACCCTGTGGGTTGCATGGCTGAGCGAGGAATCAGTCCTTGTTCTCCAGTGTTGTAGTGCAACATTCAAACCTCTATGCTGAGTTATTTAATTTCCCACAAATTTTAATCTGCTGGAAATAAAATAAAGTTGGCATGGTCTTGGGAGTTTCCCTGCCTGTCTGCATATGTGTTTGCTCTAATATGAGAGGATTCATTGGGCTGGATGAGGTGCAACTAGACATTTCCATTTAGACTGCTTGAAGTCCCTGGCCCTGTAAGTGCTTTTATTTGTCAGAAGGAATCCTAATTTGAACTGCAATAGATGGGATACAGCTGAGACCTGCAACAAAATATTGCAGCATGGAAACCTCCTGTTCAGACTGTGCTCCTTCTACAGTGCTGTCCCCTCATAGTCAATCAGTATTCCAGAGTCAGTGAAAAAAATATATTTGCATTCAGTTGTCCTTTCTCTTGCTGTTGTTAGATCCCCCCCCAAAAAATATTTCTTTTTAAACTACAAATCTTGTCCCTGTCTCATGCCTCTATAGTTTTATTTTGGCTGCATAAGGACTGCCTCTTTTAAATGTGAGATGGCTATTATTTCTTTATTTAATTTTATTTATAGCTTGCCTTTCTTCTAGTATAATACCCTAGGTATCCCACATTACAAGTTAAAATAAGGCTAAAACAATACAGTATGCAAATGTTAAAATAAACGTTAAACAGTCCAATTAAAACATCATTTTAAAACAGTTTAAATACATATTCAAATCATAGTCGAAACAAAACACAGCACACCATATTTACAATCCTTCTATGCCAAATAGTTAAAAGCTAAAGGCCTGTTTATTTTATTTATTTTTTGCCAATGATTTTTGTTGGCTTTAACAGGAAACAGAAAACGGGAAAATATTGAGTTCAACATAAACAGAAAACAGGAAAAAGAAGCAGGAACAAAATAATCCAAGTCACCTGAAGATCAAAACCAACCACACAGTTGAATTTAACAAATCTGTACAAAATAAGATCAAGTAATATAAGACAATACATTATTCCATATACCTAAATGAGTTGTAGTTGGGAGAAACAAATATCTTTCTATTTGTATTAACATAAGAAATAAAGGGAAGCAAAAGTTGCTAAAAAAAACAAACAAACTTAATGATCTCCCTTGTTCCTAAGACTTTCTACTTGGTTTGATAATTTTTCCACTAATGCCACATTCCATCATTTTTCACCTATTGAAAATCTCACTGCACTCTTCCAATTTTTTTACATGACCATCCAAGCTGACAAACACATGAAGGAAATCGGGAGTTTGTTGGATAAGGTTGTTACCATGAAACAGTGAAAGTAAGCCCATTTCTAGTGAGTAAGCACAATCCTGCTGAGGATTGGAGCCTAGCAGGTGTTATAGCAGCAGCTCAAATAACATATAGCCTTTGCAGATTGCCAGAAATAGTGCACATTAAATTGAGGCACTGCCCTGGCTCAGTGCTAGGGAATCATGGGAATTGTGTTTTTTTCTGAGACATTGAGCCTTCTCTGTCAGAGAGCTTTGGTGCCACAATAAATTACAGTTCCCATGATTCCCTAGCACTGAGCCAGGGCAGTGCTTCAATTTAATGTGCACTATTTCTGGCAGTCTGCAAAGGCCCATAGTCTGCCAAGGTGGTTTCTGAAAACGCTCTCCTTGAGAATCTTTCTTTTTCAGGTTGATAATTTTCTGAATTTTCCCAAGACATTTATTTAGGTAATTTAAGCAAAAAAAAAAATTGTGTTATCAAAAATAGTGTGGAATTTCCTCCCATGAGCGGCTTTCTTGGCCTCCTTTCTGCTCTTTCTTCTGACCTTTCATTTATGCAGGCCTCTGGCTCTTAACTCACTGTGGGTCTTCTAATGGGGTGCATTGAGCTGTTGGAGAACCAAGGTGGTGTAGTGGTTTGAGCACTGGACTGTGACTCTAGAGGCAAGGGTTCGATTTCCCACTTGGCCATAAAAAGCCCCTGGGTGACCTTAGGTGAGTCACACACTCTCAGCCCCAGAAAATCTCATGATAGTGTTGCTGTAAGTTGGAAATGACCTGAAGGCATACATCAACAAAGTTGTGCTTTTGCCTTTTTAAAGCTATGTTTTTAGCTGTTTTTAACATTGTGCTTTTCATAGAATTTATATATATAATTTTTTTAACTTTAAAAAAGGTTTAGCAGGACTTTGTCTTAATCTGTTGTAAGCCGTTAGGGTCCCATGCCAGGAGAAAGGTGAGATGAAATTGTGTGTGTGTGTGTGTGTGTGTGTACACATACACACACTATTCTGTTGCATTCTTTATCTTCACAGAGGCGGCTATGGAGAGAGATCGTTACATGAGTCCTGTAGAAGCCCAGGAATTTGGTATCTTGGACAAGGTGCTTGTCCATCCTCCTCATGATGGAGAAGATGAGCCAGAGTTGGTACAGAAGGAGTCTCCACCAGCAACCGGTCCCTCCTCTTCCTCAGCTGAGCCCTGAGAGAGCCCCAACATCCTCTGGATCTTTGTTGTGTTCAGGATCATTCTAGCAGTGGAAAACTCCCAGAAGTACCGTAATAATGGTCCTTTCCTCTGCTCCTTAGGCAGGCCTTGGGATTACCTAGGGACATCAGTCTTAGCAGACCACCTCTTAAGGCATAAATCTGCCGGTAGCTGGCCAGCTCTTATTTAGTAGCAGCAGCTGGTTTCTCTGCCTTTTGCTCTCCAGGATCTGATTGTTATCCTGCCTGTAGCAAAGTGACTTCTCCTCTTCAGTTTCCCCAAATACAGCACTGTAGAGTCATGTTTTTAAATTAAACTTGTTGTATGCATTTTTTCCTTCACTCTCTTTCTGAAAGACTGTAGATTACAGATCTTGAAGTTCCCTCAACTGCTGTGTTTTCTGTTCACTTCACAACACATACATCAGTGGCTGGGCTGGCTAGTAGGTAGATGCTACAAGTGTAGTTAAAAAAGAAAAAATGCCTTCCAAGCTCTAGCAGCAATAACTTTGCCACCTTATGGATTTATAGAACCAGGTTGCATAAATATTTATCCTTGTAGGACAATTGGACTTGTTTTTCTACCACCAGCCATAGATGATTACCCTGTTTCTGCAGAAACCCTTTCAGTAAACCTGATGTGAAAAAAGGCCAGACTGTTTAGCACACATCCTCTACATACACCAAGGCCAGATATTGTTCCTGCCATTTTTCTTGTTATAATCTGATAGGCTTCTCTTATACAGGAGTGTTCCTTGCTCCCAGCTATGGATCTGGGCCCAAAGGAGGTCTGTAGCATGAAGCTACATCTTATACAACTCATTGGGATACTGGGCATGAATAAGAGGACCTTTGGCCTTAAATCCAGTTGTTAGTCCCAACAAGAGTAGACTCGTTGAATCCCTGGAACTAAGGAACATCAACTCACCATGTTTCCATGAACTGAATGAGTCTACTCTAGCTGGAATTATTACCGTATTTTCCGGCGTATAAGACGACCTGGCATATAAGACGACCCCCCATTTTTCCAGTCAAAATATAGAGTTTTAGCACCTCTATCCTCCTTATCCTTATACCCGACATATAAGACGCCCCCCCACGTTAACCACAGATTTTGCAGGTTAAAAAGAGTCTTATACACAGGAAAATAAGGTAATTGGATTTAGCCCTTTAGCCTACAACCCTCACGGCTGGTTCACATTGGTATCTCTGGCAGGCACTGATGGAAGTAATAAGCCAAAGGTTCACCGCCACTGGTCTAAGCCTGGCAGACATAATTCTGGGGAAAAGAAAGTGCTGATAATGCTAGTCACTGCCTCTCTTAATTCCTATTATTTATGCTACTATAACACCATCCACATGGGAAAAAATGTGCTCTGTCACACTATGTGGAAAAATAATGACTGACAATTCTGGCCTGAGCAGCAGTCCAGTTTACAACTTCTTGTGTGCCTTCAAGTTGTTTCTGACTTATGGTGACTATCATGGGGTTTTCTTGGCAAAATTTGTTCAGAGGGGGTTTGCCTTTCTCTGAGACTGGGAGAGTATGACTTCCCCAAGGTCACCCAGTGGGTTTCCAGGGCAGAGCAGGGACTCAAATCCTGGTCTCCAGAGTCTCAGTCCAATGCTCAAACCACTGTATCCCATGGCTCTCCCAGTATAAAACTGCAGGACAATAAATATGCATAAGAACAACCAGCTGCACCAAGTATTCAGTTGATGGTTTGGGGCTGTTTACAGCTCTTTTTAATTTTAAAGTAGCTAGTTCACTGTCCTAATGTGGATAATGCCTTGTCACTGGTGTGGAAATAAGTGGTCCCAAGAAAACTTTAAATTGCCAGTCCCATTGGGTTCTGTACATAGGACTGTTGGGAAGGGATCATGTTGTCCTTTGTTTTGGGCAGAAAAATTTGGGGGCCAGTCCAGCCGAAGATCCACTGCCAACCAGAGGAGATACTGAGCTGGGGGAACTTGGCATAAGGCAACCATCAGTACACTAGGTGAAGATTGTGGCATACGAATCAATGGGAGATGGAGGTTAGTTACTGGAGAGAGAGAAGAGAAAAGGAGAAAAAAGAAATCACACATAGGTACTATCTGTCACACCTTTGGTTGTACATAGGATGGGATGCAAGGGGCTGATTTATTCAGACTCTTTCCCAACATCAATGTAGGTGGTTTTTTCCTGTGATAAATACAACAAAATCCAATCCAAAAAAGAACAAAAAAAACCCCAAACACTAGGATGATACCATGCCATGAACCATTGCCTTTTTGCAACTATGATGGATAGCTTTCATAGGTGTCCAGCGTTATGTAGAGAATCTGCATGGTGTAGTGGTTATGTCTTTGGAAATCAGAGTTTGATTTCACACTTGGCCATGGAAACCCACTGAGTGACCTTGTTAGCCCCAGAAAAATCTATGATGTGGTTGCCATAAGTTGGGAGGCACACAACAACTGATGTTATGTGCAGGGATAGCTGTGTTGGCCATATAGGAAAGTACAATATCATATATAATGCACAAAACAGTGATACCTTTATTGGGCCAACCAAAATGCACATTATACGTATTGCAACCTTTGAAGCTCCATTGGCTTCATCACTCAGGTGTTAAAATCATATAGGAGAACGAAAAAAGAAATTGATGATGTCAATCATAGGCCTGCATTTGGTCAAGATGTTGTAATTGTCCTCAGCTTGGACCAACCAGTGCTTGCAACATGTATAATGTGGAAAGCTTGCAACATGTATAATGTGCATTTTGGTTAGCCCAATAAAAGTATCACAATTTTGTGCATTTTGGATGATAGTGTACTAGGAAGTAAGCAGGAAAGCAAAATATGACCCAGGACACCACTCCAAAACATGGTGGAAATCCTGACCAAAGCCACTAGAGAGTGAATTGGGGGGAAATGGACTTTTCTTGAGAGAGATAAAAGGTGTGGAGCTTGCTCTTTCAGATATAATACTTAAGGAAGAAAATGAGGGTGAGGAGGCAATGAAACAAGAAATATTTTTCTATCTTTAAGCCAGGATGATCAGGGGAAAACGAGAACACATTCCCCCACAAGGACTCTGGAAACCAGGGCTCAAATCCCTGTTCGACCATGGAGACCTATTGGGTAACCTTGGGCAAGTCACATGCTCTCAGCCTCAGAGGAAGGCAAAGGCAAACCTCTGAACAAATCTTGCCAAAAGAAAACCCTGAGATAGTTTCACCCATAAGTAGGATGTGTGACTTAAAGGCACAAAACAATACAGACATTACATTAAAATTACCATTTTTAATTAATATTTAATTAAAGCCCATGTCTACCAAATCCATGTAAATGAAAGCTTGCTAAGCCTTTGGATGGATTTATAACGTTTTCCTCCACTAATTATTTTGGATACTAAGATTATTTTATTTGTTGTCGTTGTGTGCCTTCAAGTCTTTTCCAACTCATGGCGACCCTAAGGCGAATCCCATATGGGGTTTTATTGGCAAGGTTTGTTCAGAGAGGCTTTGCCATTGCCATCCCCTGAGGCTGAGAGAGTGTGACTTGCCCAAGGTCACCCAGTGGGTTTTTATGCTTGAGCAGGAATTTGAATCCTGGGTCCAAAACACACTGCAGGAATAATCCAGTTTGAGACCTCTTTAACTTCCCGGGCTTGGTGCTAAGGAATGCTGGGAATTGCAGTTTGGGTTGTGGCACCAGAGCTCTTTGTCAGAGAAGGCTGAATGTCTCAGAAGAACTACAGTTCCCAGGATTCTCTACCACTGAGCCATGGCAATCAAAGCAGTCTCAAACTAGATTATTTCTGCAGTGTGTTTTGGACCCTAGTCTCCTAGTCCAACACCCAAACTGCTTTGCCATGCTGGCTCTCTCAGGTTTGCCTTTGGTTGTTGTTAAATGCCCTCGAGTCGATCTCAACTCATGTATTATTCCAAGGGCAGCTGTATATCTGGTAAATAGTATTATGAGGATACTGGCTGTTTTTGTCATCTTGTCATCTCCAAGAAGACC